ACGAAACATTTTAGCATTTTATTAACACTGAGTATCATGATTACATTGGCCAAGGTTGAATTGAATTTAGAAATACACATAGAAATTACGCTGCAATGTTCAATGGATCGAATTTTAACATTCATTATACGCTCAGGATAGTTATTCATTCTGTACACTAAATTATAGTATTAAATAAATAAATTTTAAAATAAATATTTTGCAACTCCTATAATTTTATGGCAGTCTTTTACAGGTTTATACAATATAAATATTTCCTTCCTGTATGCACTTTGAGACTCATCTTAAATTTTATTATTTATAATCATGATACTGATCGTGTCTGAATATAATGTCAGTAACACGTGTGACACGTGCAGTATATATATGTGAGATATATTCCACGATAAGTGTGCGACTACATTGTCGACACTAAACACGATACTCGATAAATGTATTTGACTGCGGCAGTTAGGCTGTAGGAAAGTCTGGTGTTTTCGTACGTTGAAAGTACCGCATCTGGCGCGAGTCACATTTCCATAATGCTGGGAGAGGGGAACCGTGACAGAGGTTGAGGAGGGGGACAGAAGAGCAAACGATTAATCATTTCACACAGCTGGAAAATACCGGATAACTTTGATCCCCTTTGAATACGCCTGATTTACCGCCGGGGCTGATACGTGTCGATACATTTCGCCCCGCGTGTTATCGCTTGCTAGCAATTTATAGCGAGAAATGCGGCAAAAAGATGGGAAAGAGGACGACATTATTGTAGACAATCTCTTGAATAATTCTGTCAGATATTTTGTAACATGTTCGACGGCAATTTCGGTGATTGATTTATCCAGAATCGAGCAGTGAAATAATATATTAGGGTCGCGCGATATAAGAGCAATCTCATTGGAAAATGTGTATAATTTGATTTGTATATTATTCTGTTTAGTATGATAATAAACGTAACGTGGAAATACAACTTTTATATTGATATTCCATATTCCGTGTTGATCAATAAATACAACGAATTACGTAAACAGGCGAAACAATTAAAGACACGATTTTACGTAGATTCTTGAATGATTTTGTCAAGTAAATTTCTACAGATTATTTCGTAATTAATTTATTCAGAATCACGCAGCGAAACGATACTTTGCACGAAGGCAGTTCTATCGAAGAATGAACATTTCACAAGATACGAAATCTTTATTCGATCAACCCACTAACAGTGATTCATCCTGATGAAACGAAATCCTAATTTCTTGAAATTTTATGAAATTACAGAATCAAAATGAGAAAGACAATTTTCGCGAACGCAATGTTAAAAAATAAATTAATTGGAACAGAGTTGCGAACGTTCTTGGATGGATCAATGTTCGACGAAGCTATTGATAAAACGAAGAACGTTACATAAAATTCATAATGAAACAATCGAACGCTTTTGTTCAGAATAATATGAAATAAATACTCCGAAATAAAATTACTTTCCTTTGGAACAATACGAAATACCATGAGATAAAATCTCAATTACTTCTGCGTTGGCAATTTCGTATCCTCGATAAAACGAGGTCACTTTAAACTATCGTCGCTAGTCCGATCATATACCATCTCAAGCTCAATCGCACGATTTCTCTATTCCATTTACCCAAAATACATATCACCGCCATTCTTCTCCTCCAACAATGAACATATTTGACTCTACAATGCTGACAGAATATATATATAAATCGGCATCATTCTATTCATCCAACCGTGCAAGATCACGACTAGCTATTTGTCTGGCTAAACACGATTCTCATTCTATTTGTCCCGTCACGCAACGTCTTCGTTCTACTTGCCCAGCTACGTACATACGAGCATCCACGACATTGTCTGATCAAATACTGCACATATCTACTTGTTCGACCGCATACTAGCTGTAACACTCTAGTTTGGTTACACGCTGTATATAATCTACTTGTTTACCCCGTACAGCGAAATACGCTACCTGTTTCGAAGTTTTGCGTACCTCTGGTTACTGGCACACCTGTTCCATTTGATTCTAAAGTCCTCTGCCGCGCCATAAACGTTCCTGTTCCACGCGTCTTACCGCGTACAGTCCTCTACCACTTATCCGACCGTGTACAGTCTCGTAGGCAACTTATTGGACACGATAGTGGTCTGAAGTGAATACTTGTTAAAATCTATCTGGTTTGCGAGTAAAATTTACTAAATAGAAGCCAGAGTTGCTCTACAAGAATTGCTTCTATCTCATTATTATTATTTTATTTGAATATTTTTGTCTTGCTCTAATTTTTATTTAAATTACTTTACTTCTGCAAACGTTTCGACGAAACAAGTGTCGACTTCGGTTTTACTGCAACATTTAGGTTCATCGTTATTCGTTAAACGTACTACGCCCCATCCCACTCGTTCGTGTCAGCTCACACGTGCATTGTTCGACTCCAGCTCGCGATAACTCAGGCCCGTACGTCAACCGGCTGACAAGATATCGTTCCGTGCTACTTGCCTCACGATACGTAATTCATTGCTACTTTACCAAAATAAAATCTCACGCTGTCGTTACCGTCGAACAAAATTTTGCACATTCGTGTTCCATGTACCAGGTTTTTTCCTAATGTTAGCGTTAATTTTTCATCGCACAGACGACGAAAAAACGTGGCAGAAGAAACTCATCCAAAAAATATCGTAATTAAATTCAATAAGATTTGAATTATTGAACGACAAGAATCCTGTCTGTGTTTTATAATAACGAATCTCTCGGTCGATTTTACCGAGAAATAATTGCATTGTTTCGATTAATTTCCCAAGTGAAAACTTGAGTGTTACAAGACGCGAAGTTTGGACAAATACGAAACACTCGACGGAACATTGAGCGTGCACGTGATACGTAATCGTGAGGCTGGTGTGCGCGTCTGAAAATTATAAAAAAATCCGGCTGATGTTTTATTCGTGCAGACGCATTTGGCGTGAGAATGGCCGAGTCCGCAGTGACGAAAGGCGTAATTTGTCGGACGACACAAAGGGCGGCGCGCGTCGGGTCGGTAAAATTTTTAATTCCTTGCGAGGAGACGCGGAGAGAAAGCCGGGACTCATTTGTTGCTGGGCAATTACGCCTGTGCAATACGGCATAATGGATGTGTAGGGAGGTGTAGAAGCGACTGGCAAGAAAGAATAAATACAACGCCGCTATAAAATATCCGGTTGCCTGCCTTCCCTTTCGGCAGCATGTATTTTAACTGAAAAATTACGGACTGCAGCAATTTTGTCCTTTGTAATAGCGATGGACACAATGATTTACGTAGATTTGTTTCAAAGAGCATAACTGAACGCTAATAAAAAAAAAAATTGTCAACATTCTAAGCTGTTACAACTTTGAAAGGCCAGAATTTGTTCTCCTTCAAATTTTCGCATCATTTGAACCTATGTTCTTGAAAATTGCAAAAACTCAAACGTCATTGAAAATGACAGAATACTGAGATTTCGTAAGTTTCTTTCGTTTAATCCCAAATACTTGAAGTTCAATAAAATGGCGAGACAAACTGTAGAGCAAATTTCAATCTTCAAGATTATTGTGGATACTTAATCGTGGAAAAACAGTTTTCGATATTAAAATAATTCTACTGTTAGATAACGTTATTCGTAAGTCTACAATGTTTTTTAAATTAAATTAACATTGCTCACTTATCTTCGATAAGTTTATATCTTTGAATTTATCAAATTACTTTCTTTAACCAGACCAGTGGCTAGAACATAAATTCAGTCATCTCTTCTGGAATATATTATTATATATATATATATATATATATATATATATATGGAATACGTATAAATTCCATTTTATAAAATTATGGATTATAATTTCCTTTTAAAACTCCATTTCGTTCGCCATTGTCATGATATTAAAATTCTTCCTTAGTCACATCGAACGACAGTAAAAGTAAAAACATCAACAGAAATGAACTCGCCGTGCTACTCTCCCGTGGTTTTCAATTAATGTATTCGAAAAGATATTTAAATAAAAACTTCGAAATACGGGAAATACGTTTTCATTAAAGCACCGGTGACGAATCAGCCGTTCAATTTGCGACCGGCGTCCGGTCAAATGAAAACGTATTGCTTAAAATAATTACAGAGACGCGAGAAGGATTGCTGCACGTGCAAACAGCGCAAATATTAAAAGGGAGAATTTTCGTACGGAGAGAAAAAGGGGGGAAAAAAAGAGGAACGTTTCGTCCAAGGAAAGGAGTAGACATTTGCATTAATCCTATACCAGGAAAGAAATTAATTTTTTAACTCTCGACCCGCTTCTACCGCTTTGCAGCTTGAAATCCCGTTCCGTAAGTTCGTTTCTTCTGTAAACTCTAAGCTGGCTTAATTTCGTTAAATCAGATTTATTATTAAATATTCGCGAAAATTCTGCAGGAACATCGTTATGTTCCCATCCCCCTCTTCTCTCTCTTTCTATCTCTTTCTCGATGCGAGAAAAATATTTGGAGTTCTCGTCTAAATGGTATGCTCACAATCGTTCTTCAAGCAGTTGAATAACTTACAAATTATTTCGAACGTTAAACGTCTCTGAAAACGTCGAACAAATTTTTTTCGTAATTAGATCCAACACGAGATTTGAAGATTTACGTGAAATAAAATTCAAAAACGTGGAGTTTCTAAAAAAATTACCGATTAGCATCGTTTGAGTTTCACTGTGAAATAAATTATATCAAATATTTTTGAATTTTAGATTATTTTTTTTTTTTTTGAAACGGTTCCGCTGTTAAATAACATTTTTTAAACGTTCAAAAAAATAACAACGACACGCGTTTAATCTCGAAATTGAATGAAAAAATTTTTTTTGCCAATCTATCGAATTTTGGCAATCTATCGAACTACGACAAACACGAGATACGAAACAATGTTTTTCATCAATGACATTCGGATTTTTGAAGAAATATAAACACCAATAGAATTTTTGTTGATAAAACCCGATGAAATATTTGTTTGAAAATGTTTCCTTCGGTTTATTACAGAAGTAGCGGGTGAAATTCCAGGAGAACCGGAAGGTGGCAAAAGAAAGGAGGATTTATCTTGCATTTCCAACCTGGTAAGTTTCAATGGCAGCCACATATCACTGCACAATGGCAAAATAACACTCTTTGATGCAACACGCTAGCAAAAATGAAAAATTCAAAATATTAATCTGCTTTTCTCTTCCTCTTTCTGTGTCTAGTTAATTAAATAATCCCGTAACATTTCGCAACGAAACTTTGTCGATCATTCTGATGAAATTTCAATAATTCATACTTCTTTCGCTTCAAAGTTTTACCCCGCTTTTCTAATATTCAAAATTACGGATTCTAAAATTTAGACATAAAATTAAAATTCATAATAAAATAAAATTTATAATGTTTAATGTTAATTTTATAAAATTAAAATAATGAAATAAAATTTAAAATTCATACGTTGAAGTTATTACAATTTTACTTGTCGAAAACAGTAATTTTCGTGACATTCTTCGCTCGTATAAGAATATTTCAATCATTCACAATGATCAATACTGAGATTTCGACATCCTCATCACACAGATAAATTTTCTCGATATCGAATATGTAACATTGTTTTATTTCTCGATGTTCTCGTTAATCGACGATAGGATCAAACTCGCCAAATGGCTAAATTTTGACTGGCCAAAAATTCCAACTTCAAACAAACGACGTTTCATACTAATACAGAGAACCTAATACGAAAGACAGTATCAAAAAATGTTCACCGCTCGTACATCATCCCCATTCTACCTATTGTTTCGCTAACAAAAGTTCTCGCGGGCTGACACGCGCGTTTCCATTACATTTCCCTCGAAATACGTGTCCAACGTGAAAAAGAAACGATCCTGCATGACGTACGACGGGAATATTTCCGATTTCGAGAGGCCACATACGCGACCAAGGAATATCACGCGGGTGTCTCGATCCGCGTCATCTGTGGCTCGCGAATTTCACCGAAATTCTCAGGCTCGTGACCTCGAGACAACGAGTTTTGTCAGCGATCTCGATAATAAAGCCGACGAAAATTTACGCCATCGCGATGCTGTTAGATCTTCGAGGAGGAAGATGCTTGCTCACGGCTCTAGTAATTGAAATTTTTGGGGGGAAAAATTAAAAATTATCATTAAAGTCATCGAGTCGTTCGAGCGTGACGTTGACAATTTATAATGATCATTATTCAATATAAAATTCTCATGTATTGCAAAAAGAAAGATTGAATAACTTCTTTATTTCATATTTCTACTTTTTTGTTTAATAATTTTAATACTTTAAGTAAGTATTAAAGAGAATAAATAACTAAGTAAAATTGAAATTAAAGAGCAGATTGGATCTATGCTATTTTCGATAAAAATCACAGACGTATGTATATTTTATCATGCCTAATTTATGTATGTATGTATGTTTTAACTTTTGCATAATTATATATCACGTGTTAATTAATTATGCATCATATATACACCATCATGAACAACAATATGTATTAATTATGTATACATGTTTGATGTAATTTGTATGTTATTATCATTCGTGTTATTTAAACCCACGAAAGTGATGAAAGAGTCTAAATCTGAGAGACATTAAACGCTGTTCGAAAAGGATAAAGAAACGAAACAGCGATAATCCATTTTTGGCTACAGTCAACTCGCTGCTCAGTTTCTCGTCCGCTTCCTTCCACTCGTCTGCGTTTCCCTTTGACTTTAACTACTGCCAGTAACCAGCCAGCTACCGGAACAACTTCTCTCTCTCTCTCTCTCTCTCTCTCTTGAGAAGTCTAACGACACACTTGCCTTTTCCACTTGCCACCGCTGTGACTGCGTGAACACACTGCCGTGCCAGTTGCTTGGTAATATATCGCGGCAGCTTGTTTGTTCCTTGACGAGCAAATACGAGCAAGTGAAATCGTCAACAACTGATCGCAGTTGATTTCTCAACGATTGCCAAGAGAAAGAGGAGATGTCGCGAACAGAATTCTAGAGAAAATTTTTAACGAGTGCAAGTTCTCAAGAACAAGAAATGACAGACGAGCGAAGGCTAGTTGATTTTTTGAGGATATTTGATGAGGAAACAAACTTTTAAAGACCGCTGGCCGGTAGTTTTTCGAAAGATTCTTACAAAAAGACACAAATTACAGGGATACTCATGAGTAATGTCGTTTTTTTTCAAATTTAATAAACATTACAAATTAATTATTAAATAAAATAAAAATTTGTACAGTATCTTGTAGATACCCCTAGTAATTAATCTTTCAAATATACAAAGAATAATTCTAGCGAGATAAACATGAACGCGCAATCTTCTTCGCGAAAGGTTTCAGTTGATTTTTTTCAGCGACGAGAGAGTAAAGAATTAAAAATCAACGTATAAATTTCGTGATTTTTTCGAATTTTTAAGAGACTCTCAAAAGTCAAACGAACGACGTTTCTGATAAAAAAAAAAAAAAAAAAAAAACAGTGCGAGTGAATAAGGAAGAAACAGCGCGGAAACGTTCTGTCGAAACGGAAATGCTCGCCGATAGCATTGTACCAAATCAGCATTCAATCCCGAATCTAAATAATCCTAAGCTAAACGCATCGATCCGTGGAACACGGGCAATCTGTTAGCGGGAAGCACGTAGGAGTGTCTGAAATTCAGGGGAACCTGTTCACCGGATTGTGCCCGGCCTCCTGGCATCGGTTTCAACTCGAGACATCGATTCGCGTTGAATTAGGTGGCCGCCTGAAAATTCTGGCTATCCGACATGCATTGGACTCTGTTCAATTACTGGCACCGCCCTTTATCCTTGAGAATCCCGGAAATCTGGAAACGACCGGATTAATCGAGATCACCGACGAAATTACTCGCGGTTTATGAGAATTGCCATTCCCACCAGGCGGGATAAAAAAAAAAACTTCGCACGTCTTCCGCGCGAATTGCCTATTTTTCCAACGTTTCAATTATTTCGTCGCCGATGAATTTCACTCGTCGCGTTGGCCATTTTTGACCGTTTTTGACAATATATTTCTATACTCGACGGCGAGAAAAGTACGACGAGTATATTTTTTCCGATCCTTTCGTTCAATTTTTTTTCAACTATACTTTGTGATTAAATACGCAAGTACAAGTTTCAAACTGGTTCTGAAACCGTAAGTACGATATTTTCGTTTAATGACAACTTTAATTAATTTTTAGTTTCCAAATTTCTAATTTTTGGTTGCTAATTGTCTTGAGAAATGACGCGACAATCTCTAAATTCAAAAATACATAGTACGAGCGCTTTCCCTTCAAATCAATAACCTTTCTTTGCAATATAACATGTGTTAGATACTGCGTACTAACAATTAGGATATTCCGATAAAATTGGTAAACGTTGAAATTTCCAAAAGTAGAGTAACGCCGGTTCTTTACACGAAACTAAAATTTTTTTTGCATCTTTTGTATTATCATTCCTTTTTATTTCAATATAGAAACTATTGAATAAATTAATCGAAAAAATGTATAAATTATACTATTTAACAAACAGACAATTCACCATAAAGAATTAATTTCCTTCAAATTCAATAATTTTACAACATCAGAACGAACGAGGACAGCTCACAGAAAAAAAACGAAAATTTCTTTTCTTTGTTCGAGAATAACGATCATATTATCGAAAAGGAAAGAAAACAAAAACTCTAGAATAGCTTTATTCAATTTTTTGAAAGTTTAAACGTTTCCAATGGCAAGAACGATCTCCTTTAATGGCACCGCAGGGAAATTGCACATTTTCCCGTCCCCGTTGAAAATTTTCCAGCACAGCAAAGTGTAATACAATGCGCGCCCGTTAAAATGAACGCTCACGTTCCGCATAAATCCGGCCAATTTTTTCCTGCGATCGTGAACGCAATAAACATTGATCAGGCTCGTTCTTTATCCCGCGACGCTATAAAACACCGCGAAAACCAAATCCGAAAGTCGATCGTTGAAACGATTCGCGCAATTCTCCGTTGGAAAATCTGTGCTTTAAGACGCGTCTATGTTTCGTAGAAAATAAATATTACGTTAAATATTTATTTAATTAATTCCAACCTCCCACTAAGAGACTTGGATTCTCACTCGTTCGTCTACAGTGATCTTTTTTTTGCGGTTCGTAATGCCAAATAAAATGATATAATTAGTATCTTATCTAATCTTGCATTTACGCTACATTAACTGCTTATCCTCCAAGTAATCAATATCTTATCTACTTCTACATTTACACTTCATTACGCTCAAAAGAAAATTCTATCTGAAAGGTCTACGGAAATTCGTGGCGCGAGTGTAACCTTTTTCCGTAATCTTCGCGAGTTACAATTTTTATTTTCTTTAGATTTAAAAGAGACTGTACTAGCTCACTGAAGTGAATGAAACTGAAACAATGCAACGTTATTGAAAAACTATAACGTATATATAACGTAAATATGAATATAATATTAAGCAATTTGTACTTCTTTACTTTGCCTCTTTTCTTTCATTTAGTGTAGTTTTAATATTTGATGTAGATTTTGATTATCTTTCAGATAACGATATCCCAAAGAAAATCGAGTAACTCCGAAACTAAATCGTTAAAACCAAAATTATTAAACAAGCACGTAACAAAATTGTTACATTCTAAAGTCTATCCTAAACAAATCACTTTTTCCGTGTCCGTGAAAATATAAAATTTCACGAAACTCCACAGTCTAATTATTACCAATTTCAATTATTCATTATTCTACTTAACGCAAAGTTATAGAAACAAGTCTCTATCTTATTAATTCACCAAATTGAATTGCGTAAAAAATACCCAGAAGACACTCTTGGATATTTTAAAGAATGGCGATTAAGAGTTAAGAATCGAAAGAACATCCGCTGCCACTAAACACTCGAAAGAATAACAACACGGAAGCAATCGTAGAGCCGTCAACCCGAAATAGCAAATAAAAAGGAACGTGGAAAGGAAACGTGATTCGCTGCAGGTCATTCGAATGTTTATGCGTCTCGATATCGTTGTGTCTGGCCATGTCCATTATTTCTTTATTTTTTCTTTTTTTTTTTTTTTTTAGAAGCGCCGATAGGCCGTGCC